ATCCTGTGGTAACTGCACAAAAGCAACCTCATTATGTACCTTTTGGGAGGTTGGGACAGAATGGTCTCATGTCAAAGAAAACTGTTCTGTTCCATTTTCATTCTCTTTCCTTTCTCTTCTCCTCTTTCTTTTCCTGTCTCTCCTCTCTATTTCTCTTTCTTCCTTGTCCCTCCCCTACCCACAACTCAATCAAACAACAATACATTTAGAATCCATTGCATTGAGCAATGCCTCAGAATACTAGTCCAACTCCCTCTACAATCTGCCAGGAAACAGAAACCATGGCAAAGAGGTAGCTGGAAAGGTTAACAGAGACACTGGCTTGGCCACATCTCCTGACCAAAAGAGAAAGGCAAGTGAAAACATGAAAGCGACCTCTCTCTTCACACTTCAGAGGTGGCAGATATGCTCCCTGAGTTCCTCCTTGCCACTTCAAACATTGACAAAGGTGGTCTGTGTTTGTGTGTCAGTCCCAGGCTGCCCTTGACCTTGGGTACTCAGAGTCCAAAGTGTTTTTATTCCAGACAGAACTGTTTGTCTGGGTCAACAGCACTGTAGTGGAGGCAGGGAGTACTTGTGGAGACAATGTGCTGGAACATAACTCCCAAACCTCAAAACATGCCCAACAATAACAATAGCATTAACCACTGACCCAAGGGCTGGGGAAATTCTATCTCCATATCTCCTTCTACTAGTAACCATAAAAATACTGTCCCTGAAGGGACGGAGGATGTCTTCACTCAGTGTTCCAGAGAGAGTATGAGGACAGGGTTATCTACATTAGAAAAGTTTCCCCCAATGACAAGTAAATTGGGACATTATTTATTTATTTTTATTAGTTCAAATTAGGAAGAAGTTTGCTTCACACGTCAATGCCTCCTTCCTCTCCCTCCCCTCCCCCTAGACCCCCACCCTAACTGCCCTCCACTCCCAGGCTGGGTAGGGCCCTCGACAGGGGCTCCCCAAAGTCCACCACATCATCCTGGGCCGGGCCTAGACCCTCCCCTAAGTGTCCAGGCCGAGAGAGAGCATCCCTTCACTTGGGATGGGCCCTCAAAGTCCCTGCTTACACCAGGAAAAATAGTGATCCTCTACCAGGGGCCCCATAGAGTGCGGAGGCCTCCTCATTGACATCCATGTTCAGGGGTCTGGATCAGTCCCATGCTGGCCTCCCAGACAGCAGTATGGGGTCCATGTGCTCCCCCTTGTTCAGGCCAGCTGTTTCTGTGGGTTTCACCAGTCTGGTACTGACCTCTTTGACCTTCATTCCTCCCTCTCTGCAACTGAGTTGCAGAGTTCAGTTCAGTGTATATCTGTGGGTGTCTGCCTCTGCTTCCATCAGCC